GAATATAAGTCATTCCCCAATTGATAAATGGTCAAAGGATATGAGTAGGCAGTTTTCAGATGAAGAGATTAAAGCCATCTATAGTCATATGAAAAAATGCTCTAAATCACTACTGATTAGAGAAATGAAAATCAAAACAACTCTGAGGTACCATATCACACCTACCAGATTGGCCAAGATGACAAAACTCTCCATTTTACAGCTGAGGAAATCAAGGCAAACAGACAAATGACCTGCCCAAAGCCACTGAGATTAGTGAGTGTCTGCAGCTGGAAGACTCTGGTCTTCCTGAGTCCAGGCCTACACTCTGTCCAACGCAACAGCTGGCTGTTTCTCAAGCAGCTGCGTTTGTACTTTTGAAGCTGATTATTCTGAACTCAAGTAAAGGACTTTAAATTCATCACTTTAAAGTTTTCATCTGATAGATTTAGGTTCAAAACTTCAGTTCACTGGGAACTTCTTGAATGCTATCTTTGAATGGTTTTCATCCTAGCTTTTGTCATCTGCAAATCTGCGAGTCCATAAGACTATCAATAAGAGCGAAGGCAGAGTTTCTACTCTCTCTCCTAAGCTAAGATTCTCCATGCCTAACATCCAACCAGGTGTACCATCGGCATCTCAAAGAAACATGGCCAAAACAGAACTTGGTAACTTTCTCCCCAAACCCTCTCCTATAACTACTGACGGCAACTGGATCCTCCCAGCCTCCTAGGTGTCTGGCCACACTTGGCATACTCATTTACTTTTCTTTTCAATCAGCCAAAATGTCAATTCAGTGGCCAAATCTGATCAGCCTGTCTCATACAGATATTTACTTTCAAGCCTCTCTCATATGCACATCCGTCTTTGTACTCCTAGTTACAACCTAGTTCAGGCTCTTAACACATATTATTATTTGAATTATTGCAATAGCCTTCCAAATGGTCTCAAGTTTCTTCTGTAAGAACCAAAAAGAGGGAACCCTTTCTGTAGCTACTGTTGGACACTAGCAAATACATTCTTTTTATCTAAAAGGATCAAGAGGAAAAGGGTAATCTTTCTCATTCAACTTCACTGCCTTTACCAGAAAGAACTATACAATATTTAAAACAAAACAAAACAAAACAACTGGATGCTTCTGTATTTTGTAATCTCTTACGATTCATGAATCCTTCCATGAGAATAGTTCTGAGCACACACAATGCCTAGCATACTGTAGGCATTTAATGCCTACTGACCTGACCTGATGAAAAAGGCGAAGATCTCCATGTAACCTTCACGGTATAACAAAAGCTAGAGAAACAAATCTAGACAACCATAAACACAAATTACAGGACGTCCCTAAAGTCTTATTACAGGATTGCATTATGACTTTTGGGACACCCCTGTGTATTTTAATACAATAACACTTTTAAAGCCAAATAAAAACTCCAAGTTAATCTAAAATGAACTAAATCTTACAATTGTTTCAAATAGTTAGCAACGCCAACCTCACAAATAAAGGAATGTTTCCTTTCTGTCTATACATGACTGGTTTCAGGTCCCTTGTAAATCAAAAGTATTTTAAAATCAGTATTTCTACTCTTAATAATTGTATTGGTTGTACTCTAAGAAACTTAAATGTATCTTTTAAAAATTGGTTTTATTTCTATCTGGCAAATATGTCAAACGTGTAGCAAAGATTTTTTTGCAATTATCTACATTTTATGTCCTTGTGATGTCAAAACTGTGATGTCGATCAGTCAATAAATACTTATTAAGTACCTCCTCCATTCTAGGCATTGTGCTAAGTGCAGGGGATACAAAGAAAGGCAAAAACTAGTCCCTGCTCTTAAGAAGCTTACACTCTACTGGGGGAGACAACATGCAAACAATTATGTACAAAAAAAAAGCTATATATAAAGGATGTGTGAGAAATAACTGACAGAAAGGAAGGCACCAGAATTAAGAGGGATTGCAATCCACTTCCTGTAAAAGGTGGAATTTGAAGGAGCCAGAAAGCAGAGATGAGGGACAGCAATTCATGCACAGGAGACTGGTGGAGAAGATCCCCAGAGCCCAGAGATAGAGGTCTTGTTTGAGGGACAAGAAGGTGGCTAGTGTCACTGGCTTGAAGAGGATGGGGGGTGAATAAAAGGTACGAGCATTGGAAAGTTAGGAGGGAGCCAGGTAACGAGGGTTCTGAATGCCAAACAGAGGATATTAGGTCCTGGAAGGGATAGGGAGTCACTGGAGTTTATTTGGCCAGGGGGAAGATCACTTTGACAGCTGACTGGAAAATGGACTAGAGTGGAAAGAGATGAAAAAAGAAGGCTGTTGAAATATGCTGGGTGTGAGGTGATCAGGGCCTGTACCAAGATGGTGGCAGTATCAGAAGAGAGAAGGTGGTGATATGTGAGAGCTAGGATGAAGGTAAAATTGACAGGACTTGGCAATATAGGGGAAGAGCAAGGAGCTGATAATGACACCTAGGTCGAAAGCCAGGGTAACTGGGAGGATGGACATGGCCTTGACAATAACAGGAAAACTAGGAAGAAGGTAGAGTATGCGAGGGGAAAAGATAATTCAGTTTTGGACATGTTGAATTTAAGAGGCTATGTGGCATCCAGTTCAAGATGTCCAACAGATCACTGGAGATGTGTTAGAAAAGTTAGGGCTGGGTAAGCAGATTTGAGAATCATCAGTAATAGAGATGATAACTGAATCCAGAGGAGCTGATGCAATAGGACAGAGGGAGAAGAAAGAGGGCTCGGAGCCCTGGGCGACAGGGGGCTCAACATAGGTAAAGAACCAGTAAAGGATACTGTGGAGGAATGGTGAGATAAAAGGAGAACCAGAAGGGAATGGCAGCCCTAAAACATAGAAAGAAGGCAGTATCAAGAAGAAGAGGGTATTTGACAGTGTCAAAGGCTACAGAGATTTCAAGAAGGGTGAGGGCTAAGATACGGCAAATATTAGATCGGGCAATTAAAAGATCATTAGTACCTTCAGAGAGAACAATTTTAGTTAATGATAAGGATGGAAGTCATACTGTATAGAGGTAGTAGACAGAGAGAGGAAGTAAGTACAGAAATCTACTGTTGGCAGCCTTCTGACGTCTCACCAAAAAAGAGAGGAGAGATATGGAATCAGAGTAACAATAGAGAAACTAGCTATTTTATCTACCAAAGGATTTACTGTTTCTACAAATAAAGTACTGTACAACTGATCCTCATTATGTACAGATTCTGTAGCTATAAATTTACCTACTTGCTAAAAATTTATTTGTAACTGCCAAATCAGTATTTGCAGGCTTTTGCAGTCACTTGCAGAGCAGCCAAAACTTTGGGTCGCCTCATGCACACGCTCCTGGCTGAGTCGAACGAGGGAATGCCCTGCCTCTTGCTTTCAAGCTCATACCGTAAATGAGTATCCTCTTCAAAGTCTAGTTAGTGCCACAATTTTTTGGTGGTTTTTGTGATTTAAAATGCTCCCCAAGCACAGTGCTGAAGTGCTGCCTAGTGTTCTTAAGCTCAAGAAGGCTGTAATGTGCCTTAGAAAGAATATATACGTGTGTTAGATAAGCTTCATTCACCTACAAGTTATAGTGCCAAGAGTTCAATGTTAATGAAATAATACTCTCTGTCCCAGAAAAAAAAAGAGTAAATCTGCATATAATTTATTGTAAGAAATTTATATATTAAAAAAGGTGTCTTTAAACAGAAACACATATAAAACAAGGTTATGTATTGATTGTTTGACTAAAATGTTGTGTACAAGGCAAGAATCGACTGTATATTCAAAAAATCAACTTAAATTATTTTACAATTTAATATATTTTATGTGAAGTGACCACTATGCCAAATTACTATTTACAATCCATGGGTGGCAAGAAAATATTGAGGTTAATAGAATAACTAGACTATTAAGTGTTCCCAGATTGAGAGCATTTTTAACATTTGGTTTGACACATTTTATAGACCAACATGCTGGTGTTTGAAATTAAGATAAATTGTAGGACACTTTAAAAAAAAAAGATATCACTAAGTAATTTTACAATATAAAAACATACATATTTTAATTATAGTTGTTACAGTCTATTGATTATGCGTCCAAATGGGTTTGCAGCACATTAATGTATTTTTCAACATTCAACAAGCATTTATTCAACTGACTATTGTCAATTATGTGAAACTCACCAGACAGGGGGGTAGGGGCTGAGCACATAAATACAAAAGTGAGAGTCCCTGCCCTGAATTCACACTACACAATTTTCATTCTACGATAACCTTTAAAGAGCAACAAATAATAAAGCAATTATGGAAATAAGCATTGCTTTACCTATAGCTGACACTCTCCCCCCACCTCCTCAATCTAGGAAAGAAAGGTAGTAGAAAGCAATTGCCTCATACATAGTAGATCTGTTGAAATGAACTGAATTAAATTGAAAGGGAAAGCCTGAGAGGTCCTGACAATACAAACCACAGCCAGGACCGGAGGTAATCTGATTCTAGCAAAGTGAAGTACAAGAAAAGACAGGAATTGTCCCTCTACTGCCCTTGCACATTGTATCATTTGGTACTTTATGTTTCTAGATAGGAAGCATCCCTCCTTTAGTCTGGAGCACAAATAAAGGGTGCTGAAATGTTGATCTGTGTGCCTCAGGGACTATAACTGTATCTGACAAGAGTAGATCACTTATTTCCAGGGCCCAAACGTTTCCTAGGTAGATTCTGTCCGATTTAGTGCCTGTTACAATCGTCAGCTACTCCTCCTGTCTGGACTCAGCAAACTTTAAATAGGTTATGATGTGATGCTGGAAAGTTGCCCATTTTAAGAAGACACAGCTATCTGAATAATGGTGCAGTCCTTTAAAATGAACAGTTTTATACAGCAGCACTTCAAAACTGAATGACCAAAGGCCAGAGTTTGTATGTGGGCAGTCTGTCACATGTGCAAATATTTAAAGATCCTATCGCTGGTTCCATGTTCCCCAAGTGACAGAGGCTGTTCCCTCAACCCGAACAGCAATGTTGGAGCTACTCTAGATCAAAGACCCTGCCAGAGAGAACTTCCCCTAGATTCTCAGAGAGGACAAGGAAGCTCAAGCTTGGATTATTCTCTCCCTGCTCCTAACTGCAATACAGTGGTAAGAAACAATCATACAGAATGATGAACAAAAACTCATCCTTCTGCTTCTCTTTTTAACAAAATTCCAAAGTTCAGTTAAAAACCATTTTTTAAAGCAGCAAAGATTTCCAAGGCCATATGGAAGAACAATGCTATGAAATAGATGATTTTATTTTGTCTATCTTATAGGTGAAAAAACTGACTCATAGCAGTTAAATGAATTGCCTAGGTTCAAATAGTTTATAAGTTCTAAGGTAAGACTTGATTTTAGGCCCTCATGATTTCAAGTAAAGTTCTGTATCCACCACTGCACACTGCCTCTAATTGACTAAATTAAAGAATTAGCTCTGGCTTGGAAAAGATTTTCAGTCAAGTATAAACTTTTGGGGTAGAGGCTGAGTAATATACTCTCTCTCTCTCTCTCTCTCTCTCTCTTTTTGGCTAGGCAATGGGGTTAAGTGACTTGCCCAGGGTCACACAGCTAGTAAGTGTTATGCATCTGAGGCCGGATTTGAACTCAGGTCCTCCTGAATCCAGCACCGGGTGCTCTATCCACTGCACCACCTAGCTGTTCCCTAAACTATCTCTTAAGCTAATAGGTAGAAGCTTGCTCCTGGCTTCCCTCCTTCCTCTCTGCTCCTTTTCTTCATTTCTAAGCCGCACTGATAACTTGTACACTTTCTGGCTGGGCACCCTCAGCCTGCTCCTGATGAGGGCCGGGGAAGAGGAGGTGGCTGTCTCTTTACAGAACCAATGCAGGGCAGACTGACCTGCTCCCACACTGGGTTTCTAGTTCCTTTTCCCTGAAGCCAGCTCTTTCCTTTCCCTTTGCAGGATCGGGCGGAATCAGTGTCTGCCACATTTTGTGTTGACAGAGAGGGAATCTGAGGGAGGGATGAGAAGAGGAAGGGGAAGAGGAAGTGTGTGTAGGGGGGGAGACAGTTACAAACTGAGTCACTGCTGTGGGAGAGCTGGATTGGGCAGCGTCCCGTATGCTTGCCTTGACTACACCCCATGAAATGTGGATTGGGGCGGCAAGGCAGGGGGAAGATGACAACAGCTTCAAGAACTTCAGTTGTCAAATGTTACTTTGGGGGTTCTGAAATTAGGCAGTTACTGACTATCTTATAGAGTCTTGCCTGAACTTACTGCTGTGTCGCCATGGGCAAACCAATTAACCTTTGTGGACCTCACTTTGTCCAACTATAAAATAAGGGGGGGGGGTGAGTGTGTTTGCATATTTAATGGCCTCTTAAGAGCTATTCAGGCTTTAAATCGATGCTCCTATGACGCACTTTGCTGTTCTCCATCTGATCCCTCATTCTTTTTTGGAGGGGTTGGGGGAGGTCTGGGAGTTTCATGGGAGAAACTGACACAAAAGAACCTACTCCATCTTCACTACTATTTAGTTCCCAACAATGAAATGTTCACGCATTTCACTGTATAAGTTATCAGTTAATGGGACAATCTGAACAAGGGCCAGATGACCACTTGTCAGGGACAGACCATGATGGTGAAATCATATTTTTTATCTATCCAAGTTAGGCCAATAATATATCTCAATGAGGACAGATTTCTATTCATTTATTAAATGGCTTCTACCTGTCCCAAAGAAGCAGTTACCAGCAGTGAGTGTCCTTTAAAGGTCTATACAGGACTCCCTTCACTTTTCACTCTTTACTCTTTATCACCTGTTGATCTCATCAGTGCCTAGGGGTTGAATTATCATCCCATATCCACATGATTGCCAAATTTACATATTCAGCCCCAGATTCTGGGCTGAGCTATGTAGTCAAGAATCTGCAACTGCCATCTGGACATAATGGAAAAAGAATAATTCTCTCCCCACCCCCCCCAAATCTTCCTCTCTCCTAAACTTCCCTTACTGTCAAAGGCACCACCAAGGCAGTCACACAACACCAGTGTTATCCTGGACTCCCCACTGCCATGTGCCCTCATCTCCAACGTACCTCCAAATCCTGTCACTTCCACCTCTACCACATTTCTGGAATACCTTCCCCTTATTTCCACCCATAGTGTCACAATGCTAATTCAGACCTTCATCACTTCCAGCCTAAGCTATATTCCAAGTCTTCTAAATGATTTTCCTGCATCAAATCTCTCCCACTGTAATCTATCTTCTACTCTGCTGCCAAAGTGATTTTTCTAAAGTATTATGAGAAATGAAAGAGTTAAGTTTCCACATAAGTAGATAAGAAATCAGCACAGACAGGCTAACTTCTCAGGTGGGTGGGGGAGAGTGACAACACAATTCTAGGCACATAATGTATGTTAGAGGTGGGGCAATATATAAGGAAGATTGTAACCCAGAAGGATTAGGACCAATCCTGATCCAGAAGGGAGGAGTTAGGCAATTACTAACTATAAAGCTTGCCCTGGCTTCTTTTACCACACGCATTTTCTCCCCTTCAAAGGAGGTGTGTGTGCTTCTTTGAGACACCGGTCTTTGGAACTGAGTCTGGGGTTATCTTTATAACAAGTACGAAGTCTGAATCTGTCACCCCTGCTCAATGAGCTTCAGAGGCGCTATATTATGTCCAGGGATAAATATAAAATCCTCTGGAACTTAAAGCTCTTCATAGTCTGACCCCTTCCTACTAGCTTTTCCATTTTCTTAGGCTTCAATGTGCTTTAGGATCAGCTAAACTTGGCTTCCCTCAAGTTCTTCAACAGGACACTCATCTGTTCTTCATACCTGTAAAGCTCTGGCCAGTGTTTATCAGGGTACTTGGCATATAGTAAGAACTTCATAAATACTTACTGGCTTGACTTGACCTTTCTATCCCCCCTCCTAGTTTCCCTGGATTCCTTCCAGACTCAGGTCCAGTCCTGTTTTCTACTGTTCCCAACTTCAAGGTCACCTCCTTTCTGATTAGGATCACCTTCATCCCCTCTGTTTATATCTATATATGCCTAGTTGTTTGGGGAATATGGGGTGATCAGGAAGGACTAGCACTTCTGGTGTGAGGGCTTACCAAACCCTTTTCAGGAGTGCTCATCCACCTTTGTAGTCCACCTTCACCCAACTCATGCCCTGGTAAAACTGTCTTGGCACACAGGCTAAAACCAGGGTAACCAAAGGTACACGAACCTGTGGGTGAGCTAGGGGCATGTCTACCCCAGGCATATGACCACTTCCCTCACCAGAACGGGCAAATGAGAACAATGTATTTTAATGGCCATGAAGGCAGCTAAAGCAGGTGCTGTGAAGCCCTTAGAGTTTGTTCAGACATCAAAGACACCAAGGTCATCTACTGCATCCTGGCCCATTGCCAGCTGTCCTTGACTTTTGTCTGGCCACTGGATTTTGATGACTCTGGAAGAAAGAGCAACTCTGCAACTCTGTCTCACTTAAATCCAATTCACAGACAAGTCAAGACATCATCCTACAATGTCACTGGTCCTCCTTGAAAATGAAGGCCTAACAACAAGCCTGGTTGTCTGCACGGAGGCTCGTGAAAGGAAGGTACTGTTTTTTGTTGTTTTTGCTTTGCTTTGTATCCCCAGTATTAAAGTAGTGCTTGGCACATAATAAAAGACTCGAACAAATTCTCGTTGATTGACTGATTATAGAACAGATCCTTTGCACTGAGTAGACACTGGACTAGATGGCCTTTCCCTTCCAATTTCTATTTTATACTCTTTACATATTGCTATAAAATACTTATTTCATTTACAGCTGATTCATTCTTTGTTTGATTTATCTTTGCGTCCAATAAATAATGAATACTTTCAGATGAATAGAACAGACTACAACATAAGTATAAACAACACTAAAAGGTAGCTGATCTTAATTTTGGTAAAGGAAGACAGTCTAGTCTTTTTTCCCTAATATCTCTCGAAGTGTGGATGCCCTATGGCAGTTCTGGATGGAGCTGCTGCTCCTGTTCAGTCATGCCCAGTTTTTTGTGACCCACAGACTATTTTTTCTCATGGAATTTCCTTGGCAAAGATACTGCAGTGGTTTGCCCTTTCCTTCTGCCGCGGATCATTCTTTTTTTGTCAGAGCTCTCCATTGTGACCTGTCTTGGGTAACCCTGCATGGCAGTGTTTCGTTTCACTGAGCTACACAAGCCTCTCTGCCATAACAAGGCAGTGATCCAGGAGGGGATTTTTAGGCAAACAGGGGTTGAGTGATTTGTCCAGGGCTCCACAGCTAGTGTATGAGGGTGGAGATCTAGAACTGAGGTCTCCAGAACCAGCACTCTATTCATTTCGGCACCTAGCTGCCCTCTCTTGATTAAGTACCTAACCCTATTCCCCCTTCCTACTGTTTCCATTAAGTTTCAGGGGAAGCTGGGCCCAGGCCCTGACAGCTTTGTTAATGCCTGCCTTCTGTGTTTACCTCCTGGCCCAACAGTCACCCTGACTCTCCCCTAACTCTATCTTAAAGAATCCAAGAATTTTGAGAGCTGGAAGGAACCTCAGCAGCCACCTAGTTCAGCTCATCTCTGACATGGAATTCTCATTAATAGTTTAATTAAGTCAACAAACATTTATTAATAAGCACTGTACCAGGCACTATGCTGGTGATACAAAGAAAAGAAAAAGACAGCCCCTAAACTCAAGGAGCTTACAATCTAATGGGGGAAGACGATATAGAAAAAGAAGCTGGGGGCAGGGGAAGAAAGGAACCCAGGGTGGGGGCACAACAAAGTCCAGAGGGACATGCCAAGCAGGGAAATGGTAAGACGGCTGTGCTGGGCATACTCTCTAATGACCACTCTCTACCCACTCTACTCAGAGGGAGGGATGGGCCCCAGGGTAGGAGGATAGGGACGTGTCAGTTTCAAAGTTGATGCGATCTTGCAAGATGAAGAATTTCTGGAGACCATGATGAGATGCAAGAATACAGTCAGGTGGCAAATGAAATAAAGAAGATCAGGCTGGCTTCAGGCCTCCTGGAAGGCTCCCAGGGGACATCATCCAGTGCTTCTGCTCTGTGTCAATCTACTTAGGGGATGGGTGGCCACTGCTGTTTCTCTCAGGGAAGCCACTGGGATCAATAAGTGTATCAGCTGACTCTCCCCCTTGGTCAATGACACCACTGATTTGCTTATGGTTCCTTTAACAAAAGATAAGGTGTGGGGCAGCTAGGTGGTGCGGTGGATAGAGGTCTAGCCTTGGAGTCAAGAGGACCTGAGTCCAAATTCAGCCTCAGACACATAAAACTTACTAGCTGTGTGACCCTGGGCAAGTCACTTAACTCCACTGCCTAACCCCCCCCAAAAAAAATATAAAAATAAGGTGGAAGGTCTTGAAATAACTAGGGTAAAACAATATGGTTATATCTGGGACTCTTACAAATAGTAAGGTCCCATTAATCATGGCAGTTTGGCCCTAGGGCAGGAGTTTCAAAACTTCCTACGGCAGTAGAGATAGTACCAGGTGTCAAAATGGATGGAGCAAAATAACAGATAATGTATTGGACTAGACATCAGGAGAATTAGGTTTAAATTCCAACTCAGATGCTTACCAGCCATGTGAATATAATTAAAATACTTAACATCTCAGAACCTCAGTCTCACGTAAAATGGAAATACCATACTATCTACCTCACAGAATTACTGAGAGGAAAGAGCTCAGCAAACTTTAAAACAATAAATCATTCTTTATAATAATTACTATTATAAATAAGTATTAAAGGAAGAAAAAAGAAAGAAAAAAGCAGCCAAGAAGGGCTAGCTTTAGGCACTCTGTAAAACTGCTGAGTAACAGCAGGGCAAAAAAGTTGTCACATTAGTATGGAACAGCCTCAAACTGGAGGTATTCTGTGACAGTGCTTCTACCTCCCCATCCCCTCTTCACTCAAGTCTAGCAAATGAATGTGAAGATTGAGAATGGGAGATGAGTAACTGAGGAAATAGGCCCATTTCAAGAGATTCATTAGTCTTAGAGGAGTAGCCAAAAGGTCCTTTTATCCAGTGCATTCCTCTAGTATCAGGAAATTAAATTCAGTTTAACTCAAGTCAATCCCTGCACCTCCAGCCCTCACCCCCCACACTCTGAAACCCTTTGATGTTTAGAAGTTGCCATTCAAACCTTTTCATTCCTCTGCAAATTTCTCAGGTCACTCCACCCCCCACCCCACTCACACCCCTGGTTCACTGAAAAAATTAAGGGAATTCTAGGAGAGCTCTCTCTTCCTACTCACATCACTTAAGGTAAGCTCTTAGACAAAGCAAAATCCTCTACATGCATCTTTGATCCTTTCCTGGACGGGGTTTTAGAGCAGACTGCCCCCACTATCACTGCAATTCTCTAATTTTCAGTCTCTCCCTATCCACTACTAGTTCCTGCCATGATGCCTACAAACCCATGTTCCAAACCCCTCATTCCTCCCACCTTTAAAAATCCCTCTCTTAACCTGACCATTATCTTATCTCTCCTCTCCTTCTTGCCTAAATTCCTTGAGAAAGTCATCTTCATAAGAAGCTTCACACCTTTTCTTCTCAATCCTAAATTCTTTGCAATCTGGCTTCTAACGTCACCATTCAACTGAAACTGTACCAATGATGTCTAAACAGCTAAATATATTGGTCTTTTCTTAATCCTCTCAATCCTCCAAGAACCCTGTCTCCCTGGACTCTTGGTCGTCACACCATATCTCCAATCTGCTGACAGCTCTTGTTATTTCTACCTTCACAGCCTCTCTCTACTTAGACAACTTCAGCCCAGTCCAGGTCTTCATTGCTTCATGACCAGGTTATCACAGCAAGCTTCTAACCACTCCAATTCATCCTTTATTCAGCTGCCAAAATGATTTTCCTGAAGTACAGGCCTCACATGTCATTGGCCCTACTTAATAAAATCCAGTGACCTCCCATTCCTTATAGGATCAAATATAAAATACTTTAGGGCATTTAAAGGCCTTTATAATCTGACTCCTTCTTTCCCCATCTTTCTGGTCTTTTTCTATTTTACTCCTCTCCATATACTATACAAACTGGCTACACTGGAGTATTTGTGGCTCCTTATAGAACTGGGCCCCATGACTGGAATGTTTTCCCTCCTTGCTTTCTTGGGATCTTTCAAGACTCAGATCAAATTTCACATTCCAGAGGAAGTCTTTCCCAACCTACATCTCCTCATCCCTTCCCTCCAAAATTATCTTCCTGTTACACTTTATATATCTTGATGGAATAGTATTCACATACTGTCTCCCACATTAGAATGTGAGCAACTGGTGGTCAGGCACAATGTTTTTGCCTTTCTTTCTATCTCTGCACTTAGCTAGTAAACCCTTAATACAGGCTTAATAACTGAGCCAAGTACCCAAGAAACTGACCCTATAACCAAGCCTACCATCCTGCTAAATCCCTGCTCCACCAGATCTGCACTTAGACACACTGTACCAAGCAGGCTCCACATTCCAGGGTAGGAGCTCAGCCCTCTTTTCATTTCCTCAGTAAGAAAGAGAAAGAAGCACAGAATGAGGACTGAATGGGCTGTGTTTTGCATTGGATGGCTCACTGCAGTATCTTTTCCCCAAAAAAGATACTACCCTCTCTTCTGAACTTCTCCATTCCCTCGGAGGAAACCATTCTCCTTCCAGTCATTTCTCCAACTCCTCATTTGACTTCTCACTCCTATGAATCTACTCAATCTAATGAATCCAAGTTACTAGTGATCTCTTATTGCAAAATCTGATGGCTTTTTCTCAGTCATCATCCTCGTTCACCTCTCAACTTCATGCACCCCTGACCACCATCCTTGCAAGCTTCCTGAATACACTCTTCTCTCTTGGTTGTTAAAAACATTGTGCTGTATATAAAAACTCAGGCAGCACAGTGCCTGACATATAATGAGCACTTAATAAAGGCTTACTTACTGACTTGTTGACTCATATCTGCATGTGTTAACTTTAGAAGTGTTATAACCTGTTCAAAAATCTTCCAAACTTCAAGTGAAGAGTTTCAGTGGGCTTTCAAATCCATTTTTTTAAAAAGAAAAATGTCACATGATGCTCTGACCTTCCAATTAGTTTGTAACAATAATTAACTGATATAATTGCTATCAGAGAAGACAGAAATTTCCACAAAACCTCAGCACACTTGGTAGAAATGAGTATCATGATTCATTATACGCATCCAATGAGGCACTTCTTTCACTTATATCTATGTCTCTTTAAGGCATCATTTTCTAAAACCAAGTATCAAAAAAGGTGAATTTAGAACCTGATCTTTGAATAGCAAAAAGTATTAAATCAAGATTTTCAAAACTAAAGAAGCATATTCAACCACATTATTATCACTAAAAATATAATTTTATTAATATTTTTCATGTCTCGCAAGTTTTGTACATTATAAAAATTATTTTCAAAATAGTATTTTATCTTTATCTCATCCTTTTAAAATTTGTTTTTGTGAAAGTTTCTTAATAGACAAAATTATTACGACAGTAGTACATGTGGCTAATTTCTAAATAAGTAAACATACATTTTGGGGTGGGGGTAAACTCAAAAAC